TTTTTCTTTAGAATTTGTCTTCGTTCAAAGTTGTTATAACTCTTATTAATTTCATTCTATCTTCTTTCTAATACAAATTCTTTTTCTTATCTGAATAAATTACATACATACATATTTTTAATTTCTTCGAAACTCTCTTACGAAACTCTCTGTAAACTCTCTTCGTAACTCTCTGCCGAAACTCGTAATTCATGGTAATTTCCGCTCCATTCTATCCAAATAATTTTCTATTTTTTTGTTATTCAATGTTTTTCAGTTCCAATACAATTTTGTTAATATTAATATTGCAATTATTTTTATCTATTAATATTGTAAATGTTAACAGAAATTTCGATTTGAACAAAGGTCTCTAGATATCAAAAATTTTTTTTATTCAATGTAAATTTTATTGTTGTACAAAACAAAACTTTAAAATACAAACAAATATTTTTTTTAAATGGTAAAATCTGGATTCGAACTCAAGCATATTATTTTCGTATAAAAATATCATAATTTTGAAGGATCCAGATATGAGTCCGGCTTAAGAGATGAATAGCCTGTAGCCACAACCCTCGCGTTTAAATTACAATTCAAAAAATTCAAATCGGAAAAACATCTTTAAGACCCTAACCTAATTTTATAACCAATTCGTATCTCACACAACTTTCTCTACTACACTCATTCCAAATTTGATATGAACAAGTTTCGATTATAAACCAGCAAAATTTTATTATATGAGTACATACATATATATGTACATATATTAAAAAAATATTCATTTCATGAAAATTAAAAACTGCTATCAATTCAAATTCAAAATATTAAGTCAAAAATTTTTTCTTTCAATCAGAGTAACATTTTGAATTGAAAAATGTAGAAAGAATTAGAATTAAATTAAATTCACAAAATTATTAACAAATTGATGAAAATAAATTCAATAATATAAGGAATTTGAAGGAAATTAACTCAATAACAATCAACTAATGTAAGAAAATATGTATATGGAAGCAGTAAAAATTATAAAAAAAATTCGAACTTCTTTGAGGAATTTTAATTGTGAAATGAAACTTACAAACGTACACGAATTCCCAACAAATGTGGAATTTTATTGGAACAAATGTGGTTTTTGAAAAATATAGTTTTAGATATTAGGAAATCAATTTGGGAGAACGAAGTTGTTGCAAATTTGCAAAACGAAGTTGGAAGCAGAATTTGAGCCGAAATTAAAAAATAATTGGAATGTATAGTTGAAAATATTCACATACATAATAATAAAATTGATAATCTTAAAAAGATCCAAGGTCAAAGATAATAAATAAGAGCAGTTTCGTCAAAATTTTGAAAAGATTGGGTAAGATAATTTTGTAGAAATATTGAATTCGAGTATTATGTTAATGCCTCTTAAATTTTTTTTGTTCTAATTCAAAGACTGCATACATTGTTCATCCTAAAAGTATGCATATGAATGTAAGCAATTTTAATAATGTAGTACTTAGCTAGATTGTTTTTAAAAGCAGTATTTTATTTTCACTTGTTGAAAGGAAAAGTACTAGATTACAAACCATTGGTTTGACCCAACGTTAATCAATATTAATAATAATTTTAGCTAAAAATAATTCAGACTGACTATAAACTCAGTCATTCACATGTTATTCGTATTTAAATATTTTTTGTTCAAAAAAAAAATTAATTAAATTTTAAAAATTTCTTAAAATAACAAACATATCAAATTACTTTTAATATGAAAATACAAAAAAAAAACACTTATTTTAGAATAAAAATTTTTAATAGCGCAAAATATGCAAAGGTGTTGAATTTACGATTCCTATATATGTACATACATATTTACTTTATATTCAGTTGAGTGTTTGTGTACTTGTTTTTATGTTTACTATCTAGAAGAGATGTAATAATAAATAGGTCGTAATAAGAAACTACGAACTAAAACGCCGTCATAACAATGATGATTTTTTTATTGTAGGGAATTTAAAATTTCTATTTTATAGAAAAAACAAAACTTTTTGTACTCTTACTAAATTATTTATTCAACTGTAGCAAAAAATTTGTTGCAAATTAAGTAAATAAGTATTTTTTGTTTTTTTTTTTTCAAAAAAATATTATAGAATAATGTAATAGAAATATGCAATTTGTGTCTAAGTTAGCAAAATAATTGCGACGAAATGATAAGAATTTTAAATTCGTGAAACGAAAAATGTGCTTTATTGCTTATACGTTACATATGTATGTATGTAGATTATAGACTGCAATGATTTATATAGGAAATAGGTTAATGAGAAAAAATTAAAATGTTATTAAAAAAATCAATCATAAACTAAATAATATTAACAACATACATATACAGTAGAATCCCCATAAGGTGGCCATTCCATAAGGTGGTTCAACAGGTGAAAAAAATTTAACAATTTTTTTTTGACTCTACACGTTTTCACTTGTCTATTAGCAATATGGAATATGACAATAAATGTTTTTTGAAGTTTTTTTCATTCAAATAGTAAAAAAAAACCAATAACGAAGGTAAATTTCTTTGTAATGGTTTGCTTATGTAAAGAGTTTATTCTAATATTCATTTTAAGATGCGAATGACAGAATAATAATACAGAATATGGAAATTAGAGGCATTTTTCTATCAAAAAACATAACTTAGTTCAAGGGTGGTAAAAATCTGGTTAGATTATAAATTCAGCCTCAAAATAGAGGTAAAAATTTACATACTTAGCTCTTACTGTATATATTTATGGATATATAATGTTATATTATAAGGGGGTTTTCGTTTATGCACGCTGCACTGAAAGTTCTACATTAGAACTAAAATTCCTAAGCCACAGCGTTAAACAGTATGCAAAAACTTCAGCTAAGTTTTTTTAGTTTACGCAGTCTACAAATTCTGAAACTTCTAAATAATCAGTCGTTCGAAAATAACAGTAATGACATTGTTTATAAAATAGTATCGCAATACTTTTCGCCCCCCAATTCACTGCAAAATATGGAAATTTTAACAAGAAAACTTACTTTAATAATCCTTCAATAACTGAATCTGCCATTTTGAAATTTAAAATTTTTAAAAAATTTTTTGAAATTTATAATTTTAAATTTGAAAAAAAAAAAGAAGTTTCAGAAGGCAGCGACAAAATTTAAACTAAAAGTCTGCGCTACATTTCTGACATTTCTTTATTAAAGATTGAATTTTCGAACGCACTTTATTGCAGACAGTAATTTCCGAACAATCTATATTTTTAGTATATATAGTAGCATGAATTTGCAAACGTGCTAAAAACTAGAACTATTCTAGAACTGAATAAACGAAAACCCCCTAACATTACTGAAAAAAAAATTGTTTTTGGATGTTCTAATGACAAGTAAATATCTAAATGAGTTTGATTATCTGATGATATTATCTAATAATACAGTGGCTCTCCATAATACGTTATATTCAAATTAATGGTTAACATTTTTTTTTTTATTAAGTTGATAGAAAAATTTCCATAGTATCTATTCGCCCCATTTTTATACTAAAAACGATTCGTTAAAAGTATACTAATAAATTTTTTATAATATTTTTATATCGGGGCATAAAGAAAATGCGAATCCAAATTTGACTCCTGCTTTCAGTTATATTCCTATCAGATTTGCAAAGTGGTTTACGTGCGGAGATCAGAGTTGAGTTTCAGTTTTATATAAGTAACGAACGTCGAATTCGCTACAGATGTAGAATTCGAATAATGAATCCAGTACACTGCTTTAATGATAGAAAACTAACCACCCAATTTAAAATATATATGCATATTTTATAAATATAAATATATATGCATATTGAAATAATGATTTGCAAACAGTTTTTATATAAATTTACATATATATATATATATATACTTATGTATTCCTATATTTTTTTTCGTTCATTCCAGTGTTAAGTTTTTAGACAAATATTTGTCGTATAACTTACTTATTTAAAAGGGAACTTAACATATTTTAATATTTTTTTTTGTTTATGCATAAAAACTTAATATACCCAAATATTTATAAGACTCACTGTATGTTATGTTAAGCTAATTACTATAAGTGTACATATCTATACATGGAATTGGGACAAAAGAATGTTTTCATAAAAGATTTGTAATAACAAAAATTTTATTTTTAAAGAAAATAATAATAATTTATGAAAAATTATTTTTAGAGAAACAGAAAAGAATTAAAGAAATGTGTTTTATGTTTCTAGCCTGTCCACGTACACATAAGTATATATATATATATATATGTATATATAACTCTAAAGCATGACAAAATACAACGAATTTTTTTTGAAATACATATTTATGTACAATACAATAGAAAAAAAATTTAGAAGAATTATAAAATTACATAATTTTAATTTTTTATATTTTCATATTAAGTACACTGAAATGAACAAAAATTATAAGTTAATTATTTCTTTCCTTAAAGAATAAGCTGGTAACATGGCACATTGGAATTACTTAAAAAGTATACTTATATAGTAAATAACTGATCGAATCCTTATATATTCAATTATAAACCTTATATATTCAACAAAAAATATAATTTGAAAACATTTTATAGTTAGATAAGAAATAAATCCAAATTTTGTCAAACAATTTTTATATTTCTGACTTTTCGTTTAATTCTATCTATAATTCTAACCAAAAATCAAAATTTTTTCAATTGCATTATAAGTACAATATTGCAAATTTCAAAATTTCAATAAATATTGAATAGAATCTTGACTCAATTTTACACAACAGGTGCATATACCCACTGATATATGTGTATGCACCGTTAGGGCACTTAAATATGTATCTAACTTGAACACATTTATATATTAAAATACCGAACGGTATACGATCAAAGGAAATTGCTTTGCTTTATTTTTTTTATTATATAGGTATATCGTTTGAATTTTTTTATTCCTCTAAGTATGGCGCTTTCTTTTTTATTTTTTTATTTTTTTTTTATTTTCTACCATACACAATTTTTTTAATGCTTACCTTGAAAAACGGCCGATTCATAAATATTTATTTAAATAATTTATTTTATTTAATTTTTATTTTTAGAAAAAAATTTCGTCAAAATTTTATTTTTATTTTTTTTTCTTTATACTTTTCAAATAAATTATAAATAATTCTTTAGATTAACTAGATATATGTAGGTATACATTAAAATTATAAAAATTACGTGAAGAGTTTTAAAGGAGCACATTTACAATGTTTTTTTTTTCTATTCTAATATAGTAATACTTTTACTTTTCTTATTTAAATTTTGTAAAATTCCACTTAATTAAATATCGTAAATTCTTTTAATCTTAAAAAATTTGATTAATTATTTATACCGTTACATTACCACATGAAAACACTGTATGTATAAGCATAACGTATGTGTTTGAATTCGTGTATATGGTGGTAAGTACATTTGAACGCAATTAAGAATTATTTATTTGTCAAAGTTTTTAGAAAAAATTAAAAAACTCGCAAATTATAACTTTAAACTATAAAATGGCGTTGCTATAATTTTTTTTAATTTTTTTTTTTTTATTTTCTGTTTTTTTATTAATTTTTCATTAATTTTGGATTAAGAAAACCGGTAATCATAGTTTTTATTCGATAACAATTTTATTTAATTTCAATTTATTTTTCAATTTTTCTTTTTAATTTTTCGTTGAATTCAAATCCAAAATATTATTTTTATATTGTATGTACAATCCCTTTGTACTTATGTGCATATATAAGTATGTGTAAATGTAAACGCAATTTTTAATTTTTTGTAAATTATTTTTCTTGTATTTCTGAAAAAATTTATTTTTTACATTTTAACCGCAGATGTCCGGGTTTGTAGTTATTTGATTTAATAATCTTGTAAAACTAAAAAGTTCACAAACTTAAAAAAAATTTTGATAGAATCTTTAGCTATACAAAAACCTCAAAAACAACAAAAACACACTAATAAAATAATCAACCGCACGCTATGAAAACAATAACAAAAAAAAAAAACACTTTTCTGCCTGATTAACTAAAATTTTTGTTTTTTTTTCTCCTTTTTTTTTTCTTACAATACCTTTTTTAAAATTAATAAAAAGCTTTCAAAAAAAAAGAACCGTTTCTTAAACGGCTTTTATTTATTTCTTTTTTTTCTTCTAATTTTTATCATAACTTTGTAGAGGCAAAAAAATGAAAAAATTTCCACGTTATTTTTATTACATTAATTTTCCTAAAATTCCACCGCACACCTTGACGTTTCAAACGAAACTGATCCATCCATTGCGAACAAAATAAGAAAACAAACTCAACACAACCAAAAAAAAAAAACAAAATAAAAACAAAATTTTTTCTGGTAAATAAATATAAAAACAAAAAAAAAAACATAATTATTTTTTTCACATTTTGCTTTATTTGTTTTGGTTTTTCTTAAAAATTTTTGCACAAACAAAAACTCGCGAATTCGCACAAAAAAAAAACAAAAACAAAAATTAAGTCATAAAAAAAACGTAACAAAATTTATTTTGGAATTTTGGTGTTGCGCTTATTTTTTTTTTTCATTTTTTTTATTTTGATGCAAAAGCACAAAAAAAAATTTAACCGTGAATCAAAAAGTTTTCCTTTAGTTTGTTTTCTAATTTCTTTATTCTATAAATGTAAATTTGATAATAAAAAAATAAAGTTTATAAGTAAACGCAAAAATAGATAACGAAACGAAGAGAAAAAAATAAAAATAAAAAATTTTTTTGAATAAATAAGCTTGAGCTTTTTTTTCTGTGTAAATTAAATACGTAAACGTTTTACGCACACTTTGTTGTCAATTTACCTATGTTTGTATGTGCATTTAGAATTAGAATAGCAAAACAATAACAACATTTACATGAAGCACTTTTTTGATAACTGAGCGATGGGAAAGAGTAAAGAGAATGAAAAAAGTAATATAGTATTAGAAAAAGCTTAGTTTTCGCTTTCAATCTTTTTCACTTAGTTGTTCAACTTTTTTCAACAATATTTCATTTTTTTTCTCCCCCTCTCTCTCCCTCCCCTGTCCTATTATTTACTTTTTAATTTACAAATACTTTTTGAAAAAACGTTTATGATATGGCTGGTAAAATTATTTTGTAAATACATGGTGTACAAACTTCTAGCGAGAAAAACACAAACTAAGAAAAATTAGAATAAAATAAATTCCGGTCAAACCATTTGTTTCTAAATGTAGCCCCTTTTTACTTGAATAAGTGAAAATACTTTAAGAAAAAAACTATGTAGTTAACTAGCTACTTTAATTCTTAGCTCATTAATTTACTAAAATTTTTTTCTACAACTAAAAGTGATTGCATACTTTTAGGAAAAAGAACCAAAATTGAAATCACAGTCAATATAATGGCCGAATTCAACGGTTATGATAAAATACTATATTTGTTTGAAGGTAAAATATTTACCGTTAACCTTTGCTTTTATAGAAATTAGGAAAAGCTTGTACATAATTTCATAAATATAAAGCACTAAAAATTGAAATTTGAGAGGTTATTTACTAAGAGTACATTGGTGCACAAAAAGAAACCTCAGTAATAAATAGCTAGTACGCTATTTAATTTGAAAATAATAAATATTTATTTTTACATATTGCGTATCTGTAGGGAGACATGATTAGTAAATAATATTAGATTCTTGTCTTTATAAAACAGAAATTTTTAACAGAATTAATTCATAACAGAAATTTCATAACCTACTCGTACTCGTATATAACGTAAGTGATAAAACCTGTACTTGTTTTCAACTTTTTTTCCCAACTATGCTCACTTCTGGAACTGAAACTACTTAGTACTTCTGGAAATTGAAACTGTTTGAAAAAAATTGCTATACTACTTGTAAATTTTTATTGAAGTCATAGAATCGCGCTTAATATAAGTTTGCTAATTCATTACGAATGAAATAAAATTTCAATAATTAACAGCATATTTATAATTTTTTAATTGAAAATTTTGAGTTTCCGCTAAGGTTGTTCAACTGTGCCAGTAAAATTTTTGTTTTTTTTTTTTTTAATTGAATATATTACAATTCAAAATTATTTTGTATCGAATAACAAAAATTGTATTAAATTTTGAAAATATTGTCATTAATTCAATAAACTTTCTGACCTAAACATAATTGCATCCTGTAAATTTCTGCTAAAATTGGATTTTTTTTTTCGCTAAAATTTAAAAAAAAATGTGAAGGTTCATATACCTACACCAAATTTATTCTGTTTACAATTCAACAAAAAAAAATTATAGTGACTTACTTACTATACATTCAAAAAACAATAAGTTGAAGTCCCGCTAAAATTTTTGCTGATTTCAAATTAAAAAATTTAATATTCCTTTCTTTACAGATATTTTAGTAGTACATTATACATACATATGTACATATGTATAAGAAACAAAAAAATATATTATTATTTAATAAAATTTGTTTTGAAATTTTTGGTTTTAAATTTCATCGTCATTAGCGTTCTATAACTTAAAAACAAAATTTGAGGTTATAAAAAGATAAAATTTATTAAAAATTATCAGCGACTCTTTTAGAAACTTAAATTTCGTTCATTACATATATTTAATTTAATATCTTACTTAAAACTTAATTAGACACACGTTTAAGATGCTTTCTAGAACAAAAAAAATCTCTAAAAATTTTTAGAATAACGAGGCAGTTTTTCCCAATATGTCAATATTTTTATTACTTTAGCGACAATTATTGCTTTTCAAATTTATCCAAGTAGCATTACAATTATATGAATGTAAAATTTTCTTAACTTGCCTTTTTTGCATGTCATGTTAAGTGACACCATATCTTTCAGTCATACTGGTAATTCATAACTCATAAATCATGAGACATGATTGCTGCAATACTTCGTTGGTTGCTTTAAACTAATAATTTTCACAAATTTCGAAAAAACGCATTTATATATTTGAGTATCTACATAAATTTTTGAACCGTCCCTGGTTACATGGAATTTATGCGCTATTAAATATTTCACTACATAAATTACTTATTAGAAATTTGATATTAATTACAATACGATTCAACTGATAATTCCAACATTTTATTTTCCTTTTAAAATTGTATTGAATAATAAATTAAGGGTTCATTTTTTTTTTTTCATATTCGAATTTTTCTAAACTTGCATTTTACGAACTCGTTAACTTGTTTACTACTTTTTATTAACATTACATAATAAATTGCACAATTACAGTTTACTTTGTTTTGCAGTTAATACGCCATACCTTAGCATTGGGCACCTAATGGAGTAATCGAAGAATTATAGTTAGAAATTCATTTTTACCTATTATAAATTGAAAAATAAGAAACATAACATTGAAATATATTTAAAAATAAAATTATTTAGAAATTGCTAAGAAATTAAAATTTGTGTACAATCTAAGTTTTTTTGCATTATACCAAAAAATTCATAACCGTTTAGTTTTATTCACCACTTCATGTTATATAATGGATGAATGACCCAAAAACATGCACATCCAACCCAAGTATTTATGTTTTTCATTCTCGAACATCCTTAAAGAGGAAATTGTATTATAAGTTGCGTACTTTTAGGTGCTCTCATCAAACTTATCAAATGTAATTCTCTTGGTTATTCTTGTCTTATAAGTTCCATGTTGTAGTATACAGTTTGAAATTCAATTCAGCAATATATGTTTATGCTGAATTTAGCAATTCATTCAAAGCAAAAATGGACTTATGTTAAACATACATACGAAAGATATTAAATGCATTTGCATATTTTCGAAAATACTATTTGATAAATAAAAATAAAATCAGGAAAATAAATACTCCATACTTGCTCAAAAAATAATTATTTTCATTACTAAATTTGCTTATTCCAATGCAGTAAAAAAAAATATTTGTCATAAAAATAAAAATATTTCATTAATATGAAAAGCATTAGTACATAAGTGTGTGTGCTTAAATATTTGAAATAATATAAATATATTTTATATCAATAAAATTAAGATGAAAAAAAAAAAACTAAAATTAATCAAGTGAAATTTTTCATAATAAGCAGAAAATCATTATTTATCTAGATTTTATAAAATGAAATAAAATTTTTCTAATATGGCATATTAAAGAGACCAACTCTTAATATCCCCGTCTACCAAAATAAAAAACTGCAGTCAATTTGACGTTCTCAATTTTGGTACAATCTGAATTTTTAACAAAAGTAAGAATTTACTAAATTCACTTTGTACCATTAAGTCAAAAACAAGTAAAGTTGATGCCAACTTGACATATTTTTGCAGACAAAAATTTCAGTATATGTATGTATATTTAAAAAAGAATAGGAGAGAAGCATCAAAATGTTAGTGAAAAATTTGTTTTTGTAACTGAAGGTACATAGCTGACAAAAGTAGAATTGGCAGTCTACATCAAAGATTTGCTTACCAAAATGTTTAACAAAAAGTAGATTGCATATTCTGCGTAAAAATTTTGCAGTTTTGGTAGACGCCCTGTATCCTACCTACTGTTATAAATTTGAACGAACTTTATATTTAATTTAAATAATTTTAATCTTTTAGAAAATAAAAAACTTAATGCACTATTATTAATGCGTTATTTTTTAAATAATTTACGTACACATGTAGCCTTTACATACATTTTTAATTTTCGATCTGTTCCATATTTTATTTCAGGTTCAAAATATTCAGACCTTTGAGTTGATTGATTTCAATTATCAATTTCGTTCAAATTATTCCAACACATACCTCTTTTTTATTTTTTTTAAGGCACAAAAACTTTTGCGGCTGACTGTATTCCATTGTTACTAATTTTGATTCTATTAATTATTATTACCAAATTTTAATTTAGTTCTTCCTTGGTAAGAACTCACTTTCTTCACCCCTTTCGCTTAAATATAAAATTTAATATGTTTGTTTGATATTGACAAAACTAAATTTTATTAAAGTAAATTCAAACCACTTACTTTAAATAATAGAATAAATAAATTATTTAATAAAATTCTAATTTTTTACAAGTTTTTCTATTTAATTTTATTTATCAAAATATTTGCATATAATTCAACACAAAATTAAAATTTTGTCAACTTTTATTTTTAGAAACTTTCGAATTTCATTTGATGGTATACATAAGTAATTTGATCTAAATATTTGTAATATTTTCTATGAATAATAAATTTAATTCTTAATTAATTGAGAAAATAAGACATCAAATATTTAGAACTAAATTGAAAGAAAAAAATTTCTTAAATAAAATTTAGAAGAACTATTTTTGTGTTAAGAAAAATTTCTAAACACAAAATTGTAAAATCAAATAACCTATAAAAAATTCTATAAAATAACCGAAATTCATACTTTTTCAGATTTTGCTAATATTGTTCTATATTTAAAGACTAGAAGCTGGTAAAAATGTTGAAAGAACTATATATAGTCAAACGTAATATAAGTCCATAATATCTATAATAATGATCTAGTATAAAAGTTGCTAAAATGGGCCAATAATTATTCTAGACAAGACAGCGGTTTTATGATTTTATTGTGTTTTTACTTTTGGAAAACAAAAACAGATTTTGAGAGACAGGTAAAAATACAAGAACGATTATAGGAAAGAAAAAAAGAATTTTGTTATACGTTAAACACAAATATTGCAAAAAAAAATTTTTAATAAACTTCTTTATCAAAACTCGGTTAAGAGAAACTAGTACAAGTTACATATTATGTAAAACTTCTTATTTAAACTCGTTAATCATGATGCAAGTACGAATTTTATATGCACTCTGTATGTGGAATTATAATTTACTTGGTCTTCTAATAATGTATACATGCATATGTATTTTATATGTACATGCAATGCAAGAATTCAGAAACAATTAAATATATTTCGCAATTGTGTGACCTTTTACAGGCTAATGCACTTGTGTTCATTGCCATTTCATTTTCGGAAAACAGTTTTAGTAAATACTTACATACATATTAAATAAACTATACTTATTATATACAATCTTCCATATAAATTAGTTGAACATATATACATATATGTATGCATATATGTACATACATAATACCCAAATATACGTGTGTATATAAAATAAAATGACCGTTTTATAAGAAATATTTTTTATAAAAATATGACAAATATATTTTTGTTAAACAAATAACCAGCCGTAATTTTAGAATAATACAGCAGGAATTCTATTTGTATGTACTCTTTGATTTTATCTCTTAATTACGAATATTCTAATTATCCATTGTATGTTAGCATTGTTCCATTTATAATTTAATATAAAATTTTGAAAATAATCAAAATTATTTTGTTGTATTATTTTGTTTATTATTTACAATGTATCATTTAACCCACATATAAATATATAAACGGGTCCATTCATAATGCGTAAAGGTATATTTAATCCAATGATATGTATAATAAGTACATACATATGTATATATGCATGCATATATTAAGAAGAACACGAAATTCAAAAGAATTAATTTGAAGATTCAAGTACAAGACCGGCCTGCGAATTATGTATATAAATTCTTCAAGATAATAGGTAAATGTATCTTACAGTTTGGTTGTTTTTTTTTGGCTGTAACATACTTAGAAAGGAAAAATAGTGAGTTGTATGGATTGAATAATGTTTAAAAATATTTCAAATTTTTTGGAATCAATGTGTTAAAATTTTAAATGCATTTTTCGTACGTTGTACCACTTTTGAAAAACACGTTCATTAATTCTCCGAGTAAATATGGCATTTATTTTTAGAAATAGAAAATTTTAAATATAAATTTTAATTTTGAGAAAAAGAAAATAAGTTAATAATTTTTTATCTGTTATTTAAAACCATTATTTAATTTTTAATGGATTATATTTGTCATAATTTTGTTTTTTCATCCTGATATTTATTGCACTAATTTCTTTTACTTGAATACACATGTAAATAAATACATAAGTGCATACATATATAAATTCATATTTCACGTTAATATATGTATGTATATTATTTATACATCTTATATTAAACGATATTTAGATAGATATTGTATGTAGACAGGTTTCTGGCGATATCGCTTAATTTTAAACAAAAATATTATAACAGTTTTATATATATATGCATAATATTATTATATATTTATAAAAATAAATTCTAAATATTGTCTTACTTATTTTTTTTGCAAAATTGTAATTCTCAAACTTTTTTTTTATAGCAACTCGATCACGAATGAAATAGTAAGGTAATGAACACCATAATTTCATACGGCTAGAGATGTCGCTTTCAAAGGATATAGCAATACAAGCTTAATAAAACATTTCACTCCTTCATTTGAGAATACTGGCATATATACGTAATAAGTATAAGCTTATAATTTCACCTTCTAGGTAGGTATTCATTTTACAAAATTTAAATTCAATAACTTTTAGTAATATTTATGAAATGACGAAGTTTAGTAAGTTTCAAAACTAATTCGAAATATCTTTAAGTGTGAAAATCTTTACATACGTACATTATCATATCTACATGAAGTGAAATAGATATTTTTATTAATATTTTGAATAATATATTAGAAAGAAACACAGAAAAAATTATATTGTAAGTTTTACTTATTATTAAACTTAATACAAAAATTGTTCTTGTGATTTAGTTGTTGTACTGAAAATAAATCTTAACCAATAAAATTCATTACAACTAGATGTAAGATAACATGAGCAAATACAAAATCTGCGAATCCTCTTTCCGGTGATATTCCTTGAAAAACTGCTTTATTTTGGGGATTAGCCTGGAGACGTAGACATACTCCTAACACAAAGCAGCTCACTGTTGAAATAAATCCAGATAGGAATGAATTGAATGGGAATGTTCCAACTAAAACACAATACACGAACTGAAAATAAAATTGAGCATCAATAAAATATCAAGTTTCAATATTTTCTCTTTAAAATTTTTTCACACTGAAATTGTATGCATATAACCTACTTGTACGATACCGGTTAGTAAAATGTACAATAAATAAGCATCGATTATCTTCAGTTTTTTTGGTGTATGATTAACGTATTCATTATAAAATTTTCCTAGAACAGTTTTTAAATTCGACATTTTTCCAATATGCAATTAATGTATAATTATTAAAAAAAAATTTTTGAAGATAATAATTTCCTTCCACACCAAAACTAAAACGTCAAAACAAGTTACTGACACGTCAGATTGTTTATATGTCAAATAAATGTCACTTTAATTATGAAGGCAATGTTTTAAGTGTTTAAATGAAACGCAAATTGAAACAGAATTGAATCTTATTGAAAGAAACAAAGTATGTAAAATATTGCGAAGAAAGATAAGATAACACTGACAAATTATATGATGAAAACTTACTTGCAAACAACTTGTCTATTTAAACATTGCAAATTCATAGGTACGTAAGGAAATAACAACAAAAAATGCACGTAAAATATTGTATTTCAACAAAAAAATTAAATTAAAATTTTCTATAAAATTTTTTACTTAATGAAAGGAAAGTTTTGTTTTAAAACTTAAATACACTTTAAGGCTGCTATTCAGTTAAATATACCTCGACAGGAATTGTAGGAATTAAATTTTGTATTTGAAAAAATAGTTAAGATACAAACCACGTAAATGTACCAACCTCTTAAAGAATCGTATAAATACAAAAGAATTAAAATATTTTTTCTCATAAATTCTAATTCATTTTCCTTTTCATTTGCTTGTTACTTTTCTAAAAAATTTTGCTTAAATGTCAAATTTGTTTTCCAGAAGAAAAATTTCAAGATGTATGAAAGTAATGGAATTTTCATCAACTAAAGTATTTGTTAAAATGTAAAAAAACGTTGAGAAACCAAGCTAGATATCAAAAAATCAGGAACAAGATAAAATATACATGTTTTGTATATATAATACACTGTTCACATTCGACAACTTTCATTCACACTCCGAGTACGAGAATCGTACGAATTATTGCAGAAAAATCGTTGTTGCGATTCAGTTTACATTGACAGCGATAGCGACAGCAATTTAATTAAAAACAATCTAAAAAAATCTATTTTTATTTATATTTTTTATTTGTATTTTCCCGCATATTTTTATATCCAAATTAAGAATGACGTTTGTCATTCGCGTGTGGGTGATTTATGTCATAGTAATATAACTAACCGTGTTTAAATCAATAGATTGAATTGATTGAATAAATTTTGACATTTTGTGCGACTGTCGCTCTCGCAGTGTTACAGTAAATTGAAGGTCCTTAACGAAATATGTATATTTTATTGTGACTTGCAGTAATAATTTGATATTATGCCAAGGTGTAATGTGAAATTGGTCGAAAAAATTTCATTGTTTACCTTAAACTTCCACCTGATTCAATTTTTGTCATAATTAACACATTTAAAATCTAGTGAGGACAATACACATTTTACATACCTAATATCTCAACAGTTTCTGTTCTAGTTAAACCGGACATTGTTTTGATTTATATTGCTACCTCTTACGCAGACTTAGTGAAACGAAAAATAAAATGGAAATAAATAAAATAAAAAAAAAATAAAAAAATTAAACATCAATATTTGTTAATTTGCTTTTAATCTCGTATTAACATACTTATTTGTTTTATTTTTCGTTCCTAATTTCAAATTACCTTTTTTCATTCATTATTTTGCTGGAAACGTTTACTTTAAAACAAATAAATTGTTATTAAAAAAATTTTCAAAATATAGATATGTGCCATTTCTGTGTTTTGCATTTAAATTTAATGCAATACAGGATTTTCACGACCTCAAAGCATGTGTCAAAATTGTAGTTAGTTGTCAAAAAATTAAATAATTTTTGGTGATAAAAAAAAACACGTTCACAGAAAGCTTATCTTTTTTTTAAATTAAGATAATTGAGTTGTATGAATGGCATATATAAATACTTTTTTGAGAAGTACTAAGCACTACTACGTAGTAGTACAGTGGGCCATATATTTTATAAGTGAATATTTTTACATATTCAAATAATTTTATAATATTTAAAGTATTGGTTTTTGAATATTTATAAAAGTATCTGAAATTTTTCTTAATTACAGAATAAAAAACATTTGTATGAATATGTGAGAAAAAATTTCCCTATGCCTACTTTTATAATTCACGTACATACTTATTTTTTGACATCAACTTATTTGCTCGTTAATTTGTCATTTGAATTCACCAATCTTTTAATAGAAACAAATTAGAAAAATATAACAAACATATTGGCAATACTTTTGACATTACTCTTCTCGTATGAAAACAAAGAAAATAGGTAAAAAAGTAGAAAAATTGCAAGAGCAGAGTGAGGAAGGTTCATTTCTTTTTATACAAATTTTTACAAACCAAAAAAAATTATAGAAATTTTATATATTTAAAAAATATTAATATTTCATATAAAATATATTTAAAGTTATTTAATTTAAATAGTTTTGAAAATTGTTCAATAGCACTACATTTAAGAAAAGGAATGAATTTTTAAAGTTGCACAATACAAAAAAAGAAAGAAAAAAAGGAAAAAAAGAAAAAAAGTTCAAAAGAAATCCAAATTTAACCAATGATTTTTGTTAAATGAGCCCCCAGAAGAAAAAATAAATATAAAATATTAAAATCACACAAAAAATTAGCATATTTATGTTAAAAAGTTCTTATTAATATTTAACAACCTATATAGTAAAATTAATTTTAAGTTAAAAAAAAAGAAATATTAAAATTAATAAGAAGAAATCGACCTTTATAAAATAAGAAGAAAAAGAATCTATAATTAAAAAGGTTCCTATTTGATCTCAAAGTAATTTAAATTCACACGCATATTACGTTTGCTTTGGGGAAAAATCAATGGATGATTTAACCCCTTTAACCACTCTACAGGTGAGTTAAAATTTATATTTTATTTTAATTTTTATTTTAATATTTCAAAAGTAAAAAAATTCACTTCCAAACATTTTTTAATATACAAAAAAAAAATTATTTTGTTTCCTTTATGAAGGTTAGAAATTGAACAAAAGAAGAGAAGGAAATGTGTGAATTTTTCTGCAAAAATCACGAATAAAGAAAGAAAAATTTTGATATTTTTTGAAATTAAAAAGAAATTGGCTAAAAATTAATTTGCAAATAGAGAACACATTTTATTTTTCTTGAATAATTTTGTGTCTTTGGAATCAAAACGAAAGAACCTGAGGCTGTTTTTTAAATTTTTTTTTTTTGCAATTTTTTGCTAAGTAATTAATTTTTTTATTTAAAATTTATTACCAATTTAAGAATAAAATATAATCTTATATACTTATAACTACGTAACTGCTCACATCAAAAAAAGAAATACGAGTTTATTGGAACATTTCAAGGCTAAATTTGTCATCAAATTTTGAGATTTTTGTCTACGTTTGTCGAAATATCATCTTTTATTTTAATTTCGAGTAAGTGTTTTATTTTTTTTGTACCTATTTTACCTAATTTTTTTAATTTTTTAAGTTTTGATTTTTACATAAATTATTAAATTACGTATATTTTTATATTTAATTATTTTATATTTTACCTTATATTTTTTATTTAATACGAAATTTAAAATATTTGATTTGATTTTATGAGCTCATGTTTCTCTTTTGTTTTTTGTTTTCTTTTGAAGATAACCCACTGTTGTTTTTCCCTAATTTTTGTTTTTGTAATCGATTTAATCTTTTTTGAAGTTTTTGCACTTACTTTTGCACATTAACACTTTATATTCTACTTAATATAAAAAAATAATAAATTTTATATTAATGCTTAACATTATAAAATCTTATAGGTTTATTGGTATAGTATAGATAGGGTAGGTAGGTAATATATAGTAATTTCCTAAATATAGAATTGTTTTTACTTTGATGTTCTTGAACCTTATAAGATGTCCTTGAACCGTAAAAACCTTGAAAATTATAGAAGAGAATGACTATAAAATAAGATGATACTGAAAATAGTGCATATTAAATGACGTAAAAAGACTTTCCTATTTTTATTAGTTACTTAATATACATACCTTTACAATTTAATATTGTAGGCACCTACTTAATACATTTTATTGTAGATGCATTTTAATTAAGAAACAAGTAAAAAATTATGAATGGACGGGAAGTTCAGAAATTCAAGTTGACAGTCAACTATATTGACTACGTTTTTACTAAATTTATTAGTATTTTTATGTTATTGAAAGAATAGATATTGATTATTATTTTGTTTTTAGGACACTACCATGAACATAACAAACAAGCATGGGAAACTGTTTAAATATTCAAAGCGAGAATATGAAGATCATGTAGGATTAAGATGTTTAGTTGTTTTTGAATAAGATAATTACAAAACGGATTTAATATAACACACTTTTACCTAAATAGTTTTGCATATTTACGAGTACTTTATTTAAAAACATTTAGCAGACATTTTAGCTGTAACTGTTAAGGGCAATTCATTAATATTCTGTGATATTTATTTTGGTTAATTTACAAATGAAGTAAGAATTTTTTTTAAATTTTTTTTTGTGAAACCAGTTTGAGAATTTTTTTGACAATATCTTAGAAAAGCTCATACATAACATATACAAATATGTATGTATGTATGTATTTAATCAAATTATAGTTTTGCAAATTGAAAAAAAAAATTGAATATTTCGTAATCTAGGTGGAATTTTTTGTCTACTAAAAACAATTTTACTTGGATTTTACAAATAACCCTTAACATACATTTTAATAGCAGTTTTAAAGAGTAATAGTTATAGTACTCCGATATTTTATCCCTTCCAATTTGTGTTATAAATTTTTGTATATTTATAATAAAATGCAAATATTTTTCCTTAAAAATTTTATCACTTTAAATGTATTGAATTACTTATGAAGGGAGTAATTCTCTTTTAAAGAAAAATTTCTGGTTTTGAACAGCTGTTCATCTAATTTGGTTTTTTTTTTAAATTGCCAAAATTTTGTAATAGCTTATTTAGTATTGTATTTGTTTTCATTAATCTTATATTATTCTTTTTAACTTAAACTAGCGGCGTTGTATTATAATATAAAATACCCTTTGATCTAATTATTTAGTGTAATTTCAATTTGAAAATAAATAAATTGTTAGTATAAAATATGTGACTGTATTAAGATGAAGTCTTTAAAGGTTGATCAATTAAAATATCTACTAAATTAAACTGTAGTAGTCAATAGCAGATTCAGATCTTAATTGGATTTTATAAATACAAATATTTAAAGTTTTAACAATTGAACTGAAAATTTCGACCTACGACACAACTAAAGTGAGATGGCGATATTTATTCTATTTTTGATTTATTTTAAGCTAAGCATCTAATGATATAATTAGAAGCCAATAAGTAAATGAAAAAAGTTTGTACAATTTGTTTTAAATAAGTTTTGCTCATAAATTAAAAATTATGATGCATGATGTTTGTTGTGTTGTTATATAAAATGCAAAAAAAATTGAAATATAAAAGATACTTATTTTATTTTTTGACTTTAAAAGGAGCAACAACATTTAATAACAAAAATCCAACAAAATTTTTAATAATCTTACTAAATATTTTTTTGTATTAAGTTTCAATTTATGCACGTGTTGTATTTGAAGCATTTTCACGAATTGATGACTATGAAATATGCTTGTTTTTTTTTTCCTTAAAACAATACTTAATCGATTAAGTTGTCTTGTATGACAATCACTAAAAATTGTTTCAAATAAACATTTAAGCCATTATAGTAAAAAAAAAAGATTTTTAGAAAATTTTGTAAAATAATTTTATTAAAAATTGCAAAAAAAAATGCAAATAAAATTTTTGATCTCAATGATTAAAAAAAGGCAATTGAAGTTCAAAACTGCAGATTGTAGACGTAATCATTGAATCATTTGTTTCGCTGCTTGATTTGATTTTTCGTTCTAATATTAAAAAGAAAAAACTTACCACATAGCCAAATTAATAATAATATGTCCGATTTATTTATTTAAATTATTTTGTAAGAAAATAATAATTTTGCTGTGTTGTTTTTGTTGGTTTATATAATGTACGCTTTAAAGTTACAGTTATTAATACTTAACATTAAATAAAAAACAATGATTTGATATACGGCTATCGCAAATTAGTAATTATGTATCATCTGATTTGGCAAACCCTTTACAGGAATAATCATCGTTAAATTCTCATTCCTATTATAAAAAAAAAAATGGCAATACATCACAATAACTAAATATTTTCAAATTGGAATACTAAATAACATTCATGTAATATATGCATACAAATATTATATATATAACAGCATTTGTTTTACAAAAAAAAAAAATAAAAAAAAATAATTAAACAAAAATTACATAAAATGGATCCACGTTTACCATTACTAGGCAATATTATTTTAACTGAAACACCGCCACCAGGTTATATATCAGAAGATGGTGATCCTATGGATCAAACCGAAAATTATAATTCTCCGTTATCACCAAGTCCACCATTAGAAGTTCAACCAGTTTTATATCATGAACCAGCATTTTGGTGTTCAATAAGCTATTATGAATTAAGTATAAGAGTTGGTGAAATATTTCATGCATCACAACCATCTATAACAGTTGACGGTTTTACAGATCCATCAAATTCAGAAAGATTTTGTTTGGGATTATTATCAAATGTCAATCGTAATGATGTTATTGAACAAACAAGGCGTCACATTGGTAAAGGTGTACGTTTATATTATATTGGTGGTGAAGTTTTTGCAGAATGTTTAAGTGATTCTAGTGTATTTGTACAAAGCCCTAATTGTAATCTAAGATATGGTTGGCATCCAGCAACTGTATGTAAAATACCACCTGGTTGTAATTTAAAAATATTTAATAATCAAGAATTTGCTGCAATATTATCAGATTCAGTAACAGAAGGTTTTGAAGCTGTTTATCAACTAACACGTATGTGTACAATTAGAATATCATTTGTTAAAGGTTGGGGTGCTGAATATCGACGGCAAACTGTTACATCAACACCATGTTGGATAGAATTGCATTTAAATGGTCCATTACAATGGCTAGATAGAGTTTTAACACAAATGGGATCACCAAGACTACCGTGCAGTTCTATGTCATAATTTTTTTTTTTGTTTATTTACAATATAACTTAAATAAGAAAAATAATGTTTGATACCAATGTTAAATTTATTTTATTAAAAATATGTATTTAGAGAGAAAAAAACCTTAATTGTTTTTTAAACAATTATTTTATCATTCAAATGAATGATATAGTTTTATTAAAAATATTAATTTTTTTTTATATTTTTAAGTCGACAAAGTCAAAATTAACATAAGGCAAGCATGTTAAACATGAAGTTAAAAATAATTATTACATATATATTTAAAAAACCAAAAACAAAGTTGTCTTTAAAAGAATATTATAAAAAAACAATATTATTACTATGACTATAACTATTATTTTAACAATTATTATTATTATTATTACTACTATATATGCTTTTCTTATGAATTATGTTTGATACAAGTTTTTAGAATTAAAGGAAAAAAATATTTTGATAATCTATAAGATTGTTCTTTTTTTGGCTTGCATTAAAGGAAGATATTTATTTTTTGTAGTGAAAGTAAAATTAATGGTTGAAATAAATTTAAATTTGTCATCTCACTTGACTATTTTAAACGCAGACCTACAGAATTTGTTTTCCAAAAGTTATAAATAGTATAATCTAAATTGTCGTAAACTTAAAATTGCTTTAAATTTAAGCTATTCCTTAGAATAATATTTATCTTAAATTTTTGATTTTTCCTCGCTTCGGTTGATCCCTTCCTATCAACCAGTCCCCTTTTACATTAGTCACCAAACTTTGTGGTTAGTGAAAGCTTATCAAAATATTCTGAAGACGTTTTCATAAAAACTTAAACTATAGGTTCAATTTGTACGAATGTTAGAAAGTAAGGTTAACTCACATTTGTTTAATTTAATTTTAGTTTTTTTACTCATAAATTCAAAATTGAAAGTGAACTGAAATCTATAGATATAGGTATCCTGTTTTACTGAAATATTTTTGTCGCTTTTTGTTCAATTAGCTTATTTTTTCGCCTAAAATTTTCTTTTACATATTTTGTCAAGATATTTTATCAAATTTTTCACAATGGTAAGTGGGTAGTTTTGAAATTTATTTGTGAAATACTAACATTTGAATAACCATAACATTTAAGTTGAATTTAATCACCTTTTTGGTCCCAGAATTATCAACTAATTCGTTTAATTAGATTTAACCACCTTTTTCGGCCCGAAAATAATTTTTAAAATCGATAACCATATCATTATAAATTGAACATAAAGTATTTTTATAGTTTCTTAACCTACAAATAATGTTGAATGAAGCTGAGGTTTCGATCCCTTTTGATGCTTTATGTTCATAAATTGATTCAATTTTTT